GTGGTGCTAACGCTGGTTCTGCTGCCCCTAGCACAGGGGGTGCCGTATTTGGTTCAAGCGGCTTCAGCAATACCGCAGCCACCTCTGCTCCGGCATTCGGCAAACCTAGTTCCATCGGCTTTGGGCAATCGTCCCAGCTAGGTGCGAAGAGCTCTCCTTGGGCATCAGCATCAGGTGGAGCATCAGCTGCTACTCCTGCTTTTGGACAGTCAGGATTTTCGAGCTTCGCAAACAACAGCAATACCAGTCCTTTTGGCAAGGCGGCGTCCAATTCTCCATCAAGTGCCCCGTCATCCGGGGGCTTTGCTGGCTTCGCCAGCAAGAGTGGTTTTGCTTCTGTGAATAACAATAATAGTGGCAGCGTATTTGGTAGCGGCAGTCAACCCACTGCCAGTCCTTTCGGATCCACCTCAAATACCGAAACAGCTTTCCCGGCCAAATCTGAACAATCCTCTGGCAGTCCTTTTGGGTCTACCCCTTTCAAGCTCCAGAGCTCCTTCAAGCCTGATGGATCTGCCAAGGACGACGCAGCTAAACCTAGCGGTTCTTTGTTTGGTAGCAACTTTGGGTCAGCCCTTACTGATGCGACTAACAAACCCGAAGTTACGACACCTACACCCAGGGATGAGGAAATGGACACCGCGGGAGCAACGGAGGAGACCCCTCAAGCTAAAACCAAGGACTCGCTATTCCCTGCGCAACAAAGTCCCGAGTCCACAACTCCGACTACAACACCTGCGCCATCTAAGTTCGGTTTTGCAACATCGCCAGCCCCCCAGACATCAACTTTTGGACAACCATCGAAGTTTAGCTCCACTGGTGGTGGGCTTTTTGGAAACAAGTCGGAGACACCGAAACCCAGTGGCGGTCTTTTTGGATCTCCATCGAGTACCCCTAAGCCCAGCGCAGGGCTGTTTAGTTCGACTTCTGCGACACCCAAGGCTGGTGGAACTCTTTTCGGATCGCAACAGAACACACCAAAGGCCAGTATTTTTGGAGGACAGCAGAAGCCAAGCGGCTACACGGGAATCTTTGGCCAGAAGTCGGAGTTTGCTAAGACTAGGAGCCCTGAGGCCGAGAATCCTGAAGTCAAGGTAGAAGATGACGCCCCGCTGCCTCCGGACACAACCAGCAAGGCCAGCTTTGCTGTTGGTGAATCGTCTTCCTCATCGGCGGCATCCAAGGCTGAAGCCGCCCCTCTGCCCCCAGACTTCATTCCCAAGCCTAAATCTTCCTCGTCTGCTGCTAAAGCGGCCGAGGCCTCTGACGCCCCATTGCCGCCAGACTTTGTCAATGTATCCAAACCGACAGACAAGGAATCGGCTGCCTCTGCTGCCCCCCTGCCGTCTGAATCCATCACTTCTGCAAAACCAAGATCCGTTTTTGACAAACCAGACGGTACTCCAAAGGCGCCTTCGAGCCTTTTCCCCGCCGTCGCTGGACCGCCTTCGGACGATAGTGATGACCTAGATGACGAAGACGACGACGAAGAGGAAGACGATGATGGAGAGGAAGGAGAAGGGGAAGAAGAAGATGATGATGATGGCGGGTCCGAGGGCAGTGGTATCGATGTTGCCAAGGATCTGAGCCCGACAGTTAGCAACCTTACTCCCGGATATACACCCCAAAGCTCATTTGGTGGACATGGCGGGCATGCTCTTGGAAGCCCCCGAACGAGTCAAGAAGGCTCACGACCTTTGTTTGGCGAACTCAGCCGCAACGCGCCCGTATTTCCGCGACCCAACGCGACCAGTCCCCGCTCTCCGAGTCCGGTTCGAGGGGCAGTGCCGAATAGGGTCCTCAGGTCAGAGAACATGAGATCTGTGAGTGCCCCAGGAATTGCCTCGCATCTCCTTGGACATAGGCAGTCACAGATGGGTGCTTCCATAACCAGCAGAGACGCTGGCTCGTCAGAAGACCCATTTGTAGCCCAGCATCGTAAATTTAAGGCCAAGCAGGAGGCTGCAGAAACTCAGCCATTAGTTGACGAGGATGACGACGAGGTTCAGAAGCTTCTAGCATCAGAAGTGGAAGGAAGCTTGACCCTGGATGAGTTCATTGCCCATTCAAACGTCGCTCCGCCTGCTAAGGAAAGTATCCCAAGCCAAGTCGAAGCAGTCTATCGCGATATCAATTCGATGATTGATACACTCGGTCTCAATGCGCGAACTATTAAGTCATTCATCAAGGGCCACACGGAGAGCTGCAAGCAGGGTGGACGCAGTAAAGAGGATCTTGATGACCCCGAAGACTGGGTTCTTTGCGAGATTGATGAGTTGGGAAACATCTTGGACAATGAACTGTACAATGATCTTGAGGACGGGCGAGTTCGTGACTTGGACGCTAAACTCGATGCTTGCCACGAACTTTCCAGGGATATGCATCGCCTTCGAGCTAAGCAGGAGGACTTGAAACAAATTCTTATGATCAGAACCGACCCTGACCAGGCTGAAGTAACACGATCTATGCCTCTGAGTGCGGAGCAAGCAACACAGCAGAACGAACTGCGACGCGAGTTCGCCAAGTTCTCGAAGCTCTTGGCTGATGCAGAAGAAGCCTTAACGCTGCTCAAGACAAGGATTGCATCCGCCTCTGGCGCCTCAGGCAAAGGCAAGGCAAACATTCCTACGGTTGAGGCGGTGATGCGTACTATTGGGAAGATGACGGCGATGGTTGAGAAGCGCAGCGGGGATATCGACGTTCTCGAAAACCAGCTGCGCAAAGTCAATCTCAACTCTATAAGCCGGGAAGGGTCTCCTATGGTGACACCACAGGGAAGGAGGAGCATCATGTTCTCGCCCGAAGGAACGCCCGTTAGAAATCTGCGCCATAGTTTTGCAGGCAGCATGTCTCTGGGTGCATCTATCCGAGCCACCCCCCCACGCAAGAAACTTAGTGGCTTCAGTCGAGAGGAGAAGGGTGATTTAATGGAAAAGAGAACACGACGGCAAGCGGTATTGGGCAAGCTGAAGAGCAGCGTCGAGAAGAGAGGTGTCAGTGTTTGGAATATGGAGGATATCGAATAATCAAGGACAATGACACAGGATGGACATTATCACGGCGAAACAAGACAGAACATGGTGATGAATAGGGCAAGGAGCAACCAAACAACTGTATCTTTAGATTTTAAGTAGTGTATCAATTGGTCATACCAACTACCCGTAAAACTAATGTATCCCACCCCCCCTGCGATTTGTATTCCCTTTTTGATCATGATAGTGCTCCGTAGCCAGTTCCATTGTGAGAATCGTAATTCCAGCTCAATAAAGCCATTTTGTCCTCACTATTACGACCAATTGACTTCCCTGAGGGAAAAAACACAAACACCTTTTTACTCCTCGGGTATCCTCAAACGTTGAATTTCAAGAAGACGTATGTTGTGCAAGCATTGAACTAGTGGTCAACCCGCTCAGGCTGCTGGAGCAGGCGGAGCGGCAGACCGTGGGATGGCAGACTTGGGGTCGGTGGCTGGAGCATTGTTGGAGATATCGCGAGGAATGTTTGATGGGTTAGAGTGAACACGGCAATGTTCCTTGTTCTTGTGCTCGGGGTGAGGTCGAGGAGTGTAGCTAAGGGATCACGGTCAGGTGATGGGAGTCTTCAATGAGAATCGAATCGACATACTTGACGAAGGAGAGCATCCTGAAATGTTGCTGGTGTTTCCGCGTATAAGTGGTGGATTTTGTTGACTGTGCTCTAGAGTATTTCTCAAATGCAATTGTTTGCTTTATGATTATGATACTAACAATGATGAATTGGAGAAAAGGTGGGAAGCCAACGAGTCTTATATAGCTGATATCATCTCTGATCAATTCAACTTACATACATTGTATTACAAAGGATTGGTTGGCCGGACCGGTTGTGCTCTGGTGACTGATTGACAGGACTTTGAATTGCACGTGTGACCGGCATCAACTTTGAGGACAGAGCAGGGGTTCGCCAAGGACTTTAAGTTTGACTGGAGGACATAGGCACATTACTGACGTCGTACGGGTTGCCCGGACAGGGAAGTGATGGGATCTCTCAGCGGGGGTAGAGCGTGCGCATGACCCCTGGAACGAGGAGAATGAAGTGCGCTGCAGCTGGTTTAGGGGATGATCCTAGTGTGTATGTATTGTTTATGATCACTTGGGGATGGCAATCTGGCGATGGACGACGACTGATTGGGTGCGCTGAAATGGCCAGAGGCCGGCCCGGTGAATGAACACTTCCCGACTACGGAGTAGCAGGGGCACAATCTCGGCATCCTAGACAAGAGGCAAAAGAGTCTGTCGAGAGACTCGTCTTATAAGTGAGCTTTCAAGGGGGCTATGTCTGGTTGATGCGGCGTAAATGATCCGAAGTCGCTCATCATCAGATCAGGGTTCTGGTTTTGAGAGACAAGGCTTATGAGTATTTACATGCTCTCAATAACAATTGAGGTGTTCTTCCTCATGAAAGAACCCAACGCAGGCTGCCCTCGTGCAAAGCCACCTCGACTGATTGTCACTGTTATCAGACCATGTTCTCATAACATTAAGTACGTACCTACTCCGGTTCATCGTAAGTGGGGCCTGCGGTCAACCCACCGTCGGGCACGGTCGACGGTCTTCGGAGACGAGTGGGGAAATCCACGCCGCCTCTTTCTGGCAGCCCGGGATCCACTAGCCCTTCACCTTGGAAGATCCACATTCTTCACCTTCCACTCACCGAATCTTCACCTTGGAGGGGCTTCAAAAAATTATTGTTTGCTTCGTTCAACACCGACGTCCAAACGTTTATACAACCACCACGCCTACTCACCAGTCTGCAATACATAATACCCACCACCGCAATGGCACCCACACAGCAGGCTGCGTGGAGAAAAGCTCCTACTGCAGAGGAAATTGCCAATCGTCAGGTAAACTTCAATTGAGCAATGCTGAATGCACTGTAACCTAACTTTTGCGCCCAGACTGTTGGCATTAACAAGGAAACCGTCACAAACATCACCTCGACTGATTACCCAGGCCATCACCCTGGCGAAGATCTCGCATTCACGCTCGATCGTTTCCGCGATGCGTTTTCTGTAAATTTTCACCAGAACGAACAGTTCCTCGCCTCTTTCTCTCTTGTTGGAATTGACGCTTCGCTCGCAAACGCTTTTCGACGTATTCTACTTTCCGAGATCCCCACCCTCGCTATCGAGAACGTTTATATCGAAAATAACACCTCTGTCATTCAAGACGAGGTTCTCGCCCATCGTCTTGGACTTATCCCATTCAAGGGTGGTCGTGAAGGTCTGCACAACTTCCTCAAGTGGCACAAGAAGCCAGAGGCTGGCGAGGATCCTTATGCCGGCTGCTTTGACTGGAACACGGTCCGCCTCGAGCTTAACGTGACATGCACCGTCAATGAGGACGCTTCGCCCGCTGAGAACGACCCTCTCAAAGCTTATCATAACGCCCACGTTTATGCGCGCGACATCGTCTTCGTTCCTACTGGCAAGCAGGTCGAGTACTTCAGCGGCGAGGACGCCATTGTGCCCACGAACCCAGACATCTTGATTGCCAAGCTGCGACCCCGACAGACCATTAATCTCGCCATGCATATGCACAAGGGAATTGGATCCGATCACGCCAAGTTCTCTCCTGTCGCAACAGCCTCGTACCGTCTGCTACCTACCATTACCATTACCAAGCCTATCTTGGGCGCTGATGCCGAAAAATTTGCCAAGTGCTTCCCCAAGGGTGTCATTGGCCTCGAGAAGGTTACGGCTGAGGAAGCTGCTCAGGCTGGTAGCGGTTATGAGGGCCAGGAGGGCGAGACTAAGGCCGTGGTTGTTGATGCGATGAAGGACACTGTCAGCCGAGAGGCTCTACGACACAAGGAGTTTGAGGGCAAGGTCAAGCTTGGCCGAAGGCGAGATCATTTCATCTTCTCCATCGAGAGCACAGGGCAATGGGATAGCGATGAGCTTTTTCTCGAGTCAGTTAAGCACCTCAAGCTCAAGTGCAAGAAGCTTGAGCAGCAAGTTATCAACATGGCGAGGTAGCTTACTACATCATGGAGAGATTTTGGGTCTTGTTTGGCGCAGTATCATAATTTTTGGGTTGATTTGTTTTCTGCGGTCTCTACGGTTAGACAAAAAGGAATGATACCATGACCACATCATAATATTCGTCACCCGTTTCCTCTCTGCCCCCTGAAAGGATACTCATCTAGTATTTTTTGAGTCGTCATCATGTACCTCTCATTCATTAATCCAACGCCTAAAGATGCCCGAAAGCCTGAACGCCCTTTGCTGACTACTTGGTCGAGAAATCAAGAACTTGTCTTGAACTTGAAGTAAAAGTTGAATTCAAGGGGAAACGCTGGATCAGTGACAACAACCTGCTGTCCGTCTTCGAGCCCAAGCTCTGTGAGGGACTTACTCAGGTTCGGGCGTGTCTGCTCCTCCAAGCCTGGAGGAAATTGCATGTATAGAGTCTTTCCTTCAGCACGGATTGATGGCTTCTTTAGTTGCGCTTCGGGGCGAATCGCGAATGAATCGATCAACTCCTGCAGAGTGGAGTTGGGGTTGACTTCGAGAGGGCGAGCCTGGCGTCCACAGACAGGGCAGTCGTCCTTCTTCTCATGCTTGAAGGTGTATGTATAGATGCTATCATTGCCAGAGTACATCATATAGTTTGTCTCGAATCCAAGACAAGGGGCGGAGGTTGTCGCGATTTTAAAAGCCTCGTTACAGCATGCAGCGGCGATGATAGCATTGGTGGATGCAATCGCCGGAATGATGTTCTTGATGGTTCCTTGCGTTAACGAATAGGTGACACCAGGGATGCCAAACTCTTCCGCACGAGTAAGTGCTTTTTGGAACAGCCAGGTTACATGCTCTGGGTCGTCCTTGTCAAGCTTGGGGAATGGCTTCTCTTGCTCCCAAGCAATAACGTGGGCCCATTCAATGCAGTGCTCGGGTTGTCGTGGGATTGAGGCAATAGTACACAGAGGAACAGCGGCGCGCGGGGCGTGCATATCCAGCTGGCACTCAATACATGATGTCATGGATGGGAGGATGACTCGCGCCTGTCCCTTGAAGCCTTCAGTGCCACCATCGATTAGGGGCTTTATCGCATCGGGGTCTTCAGCGTCTTCGGCAATAGAAACAAGCATGGCGTTGATCCAACGGCGGGCCTCTATGCTGTCTAGGCCGCAAATTACAAGCTGGAACTGCTTGTAAAATTCCTCGTCGAAGTCCTGGATACGGTTGTTGTGGGCTGTGATGGAGACGCCCTTGACTCTCTTTTGGACGAAAGCAGCGGCAACCTCTGCTTTGTATTTGCCAACATCATCTTTTCGGAACAAGAACTGGCGGTTGAGGTTGGAAATATCGATGGTATCTAGAGCAAGATGAGCCAGCGATCTTTGATAGAAACGACGATTCACAAACCCATGTCTATTACGTGAATGTTCCTGAATCTGGACATGGCAAGATTCTTCAGAATTTCACATCCTAGGCCTCCTGCGCCGCTGTATCACGGAAGTTAGTGAGCCGGACATTTGAGCCTCTCAAGAGAGACGACTGACATGACACTACACAAATTAGTATGGCTTTGATAGGATGTTACATGTGTACATCAACACTCACAGAACTTTGAACGTTTCAAACTGCGCCAGAAACTCTGGCGCAGTAGCATCGGGATCGGTATAAGGTCCTGCGTTACGGCGGATTTGGTCGAGATATTTCCTTGCCTTGCGGTCAGTTGTTTGTTCGTGGTTTCAAAGAGCTCCAACAGCTCCCAGCTAAAAGGTCTTACCATCGCGCGTCTTCGTAGCCGCCGGCAGCTTCCTGAGCAACACTAGCCATACTGAATATTTCCAAGGACTTTGTAGAACAATAACAACAAGCCAAATGAATGTATGAGCAAGTTTGCGGGGAGATATGTAAGATCAGAGAGTGAGTGGTCCGCAGCTTGGTTACTGAGGTAAGGTCTTAGCTCTGAGAGGATCCGTGCGTGGGGGAGGCCCGTCATTGCCTAGAGCTGGCTCGGTGAAGCTCGGTGAGGGTGGGGTCAAGGTGAGTAATGCTTTCGAGCACCTAAACCTAAGTAAACGCCGGACAACAATGTAATACCTTATCAAGCTTTCAAAGTTCAAACAGCATGACATTTGGTGGACAAATCGCCAGATTAAACTGCACAGACTAGGATGGACGACCTTCTCACTCCTGTGAGCACAACCTACCTCAAACCTCGGAATGAGCCTGAGCCACTTTTCACAGAGGTTAGGCCAGCTTCTACCCAGAAGAAACCAGCCAGCATCAGTGACAAGTCGACGGCTGATGAAATTATCGATGCATTAAAAAGCCAACCAGACTACGATACACTTATTTCGGTACTGAATGTTCTAAATAACCCAAAATCTGCGCCAAGTAACTTCTCATTCTCAACACCCAGTCCTAAAAGTGCATCTATCGTCCATTTGCTGGCCTCGGAGATCGCATCAAATTACTGGACACTTTTACTTGAGGGAAACATCGAAGATAATACAAAGGGCAAAACAGAACTTCCACGAGATGCGGATCTTTTTATCGGCTGTCTACGCAGTCTGACAGGTCTTAACGCTGTCATCACACAACTGCGGGTTCTCATTCAAGAGTCACGGCAAGGAGGGAAGGAAAAGAAGAGAGTAGACTTATCAATCAACGTCGGCATTCTGTTGAGTATTCTATCTTCCATTATTGGTAGTGCTCAGTCAATCTCTGCGATATGGAGCTCATCGACCAAAGGAATCTCCAGTGCCGCGCTGCAAAGAGTTCAGTGTCAGAAACTTGCATCAATTCTCTCAAACGGTCAAATTGTGTCAATCGCAGCGGAAGCTTTAGAAGTCATGGGACGCGATCAAGTCGGCGACGAGGTTCACTGGATTACTGACGGACTAAAATATAGTAGATGGCTGGGAAATGCTATTGTGTCATGGGTTCATTCATCGCCTGAACCCGATGGCATGGCCTTCGCGTGTGAGTTGTTCCAGAAGTCGCTGTCGCTGCAACATTCAGGTAAGACACATAAGAAATCCATTTACTGATACTTGCTGATGCTTATGCCGCAGAAAATCTTATCAAAATCGCAATCGACGGACTTCTTCTTTCTAAAAGAAACTCAACTTCAACATTCATCCAACTTGCTCTCAGCCAACATCGAACCTCTAGGAAGGTATTCCATATTTTACTTCAGCACCTCTCACAGAAATACCTGAATCGTCTGAGCCTGGAAGACACACACCCTGACGACAAGGTTTCTGCCGTTGCTGGGCTTCTCATGGAAGTCGCGTTGAACGACGAAACGAGAAGAGATGTTCTTATCAACTGGTGTGCATCTTCATCAGGTGCTGGTGTTGGCGATGGAGTAGGTATTCGCAGAGCTGTCGTAGCTGCACTCGCACGAGACCGAGAAGCGATCACTACAGTACTGGAGAAAAGCATTGCACAATTCGGAGATGACCTGTACATGAGGCATTCGGCAATGCTTCAGCAAGATGGTAACGACTGTCCCCAGGCAATTCATCTAGATACTTGCTGACATTTTGTAGCGCATACCCAAATCCTGCTCCTTGCCGCTGGCTACGTACACAGAGTTTCTCCAATGAAATTGACGTTGCTCATGCGAGTAGGCACATACATGAACGCCATCTCCAATCGCATTGGTTCCACACAACTCAGAGCTCAGTTTCTGGGGTTGGTAGTTGGGGAATCGTTGTCTGCTTTGATCGATGATAAGAAGCAGAGGCTCGATTTCAAGATGGAACAGACAGAAACAGAGGAAGCGCAGCAATTGAAGGGTCTAACCAAGGTCTCTGACCCTGTTGGCCCTATCGACCCTATCCTTTTCGACCACGCAAATGAGACTGTCCCTCAGAAGCGAAAGTCTTCAACGCCAAGCGAGGCTCTTCAAAAGAAATCCAAGCAAAAGAAGAAGCCTGTTGTTACCGAAGCCAAGCCAAAAGCCATCATCGAGGAGATTGATTCCTCAGAAGAGGACGACGATCTCGCCCCTTACCCGAAGGACTCTGACCCTGAAGACTCGGATGATGACGCAACACTTGTACAACGCAACAAGCCCAAACCGCCAGTTTATATCAGAGATCTCATATCGTATTTCAGAGACTCGGAGTCATACGACAAACAGGTGCTCGCTTTACAGACGGCTCCAATTCTCATCAGACGCAAGGCCAATTATGGAGCAGAGGTGAGTTTCCACGCTGACGAGTTGGCTGGGCTTTTGGTGGGTATACAAGACAAGTTTGAGATCGAAAATTTTGATGATTTGCGGTTGCACGGCATGGTAGCGCTTGTTGTCTCTCAACCTAAGACTATGGCCCCATGGTTTGCTCGAACTTTCTTCGAGGGCGACTATTCCCTCCACCAACGGACATCAATACTCATCACGTTGGGCCTGTCAGCCCGAGAACTGGCGGGTTTCGAAGTATCTCAGCACCAGTCGGCTGCTGCCTTCCCCTCAAAGCGACTACCTGAGAAGATGGAGCAACTTTTCATCGGCTCGGGAAATGACAGCAGCACCCTACCGTCGTCTCAGCTGAAAGCACTACCATCAACTGCTCTTGAGAATATCTCACAGTCGCTGACATCTTCATTCCTTGCCCCGCTTGCTGCAGATGCAGCCGATGCCAACACAGGCCCTGACGTTTTGAAGCTTCAAAGCTTCACGGCCCGCTACAAGTCCAAGTCTATTTCCAAACCTCGTATGCGTGCTATTCCCAATACGACTGCCGCTTTGCTTGCGACGTCCTTCTTCTCCCCACTCACAGCGCATTTCCAGGTCGCGCTCCGTTCTGCCAAACCAATCATACTCAACCATGCACTTCTGGCACTCTACCTACAGACGTTAGGCATTGTTGTTCACGCCGCTGGGCCTTCCACACTTTCGCTGCCACAGTTAACTGCGGAGCTATGGGATCTGCTTCTGGGCGTTCGTGTACATGTTTTTGGCGATCTCGGCGCCATGAAAGGGTGGCTCGTGGCTATGGCGTCCCTGCTGG